AACCCCACAAAAGTGAGCCACCCACCCCGCAACAGACAATTTTATACACCGGTACATTACGTATATTATAATCGTTTTATGGGTACTTTTTGGTCTTTAGCTAATTGCAAAACTTATAAATATAATATATTATAATGTCTATGTTTACAATGCCGAGTTCTTATGCAATTCAAATTAAGTTTACGTCTATACTTATGTAAAGTATAAAAGCTCATTTAGCTCATATATTATTAATAGTAAGGTATGTTGATAATCTACTTCAGACGACCATGCACTAAAAATTCCGTAGGTATTTAGAAGATACTTCACGCAATAGATTTTCTTCTGATTCGTAACAGACGTACTAACTAATAAGTATAAGGTATAAAACTGTTTGATTTTTTGCATCTACCTATTAAAAAGGTAAATTGGAGTAATCATACACGACCTAATTAAATAGTAATAATTGCCCTTCCCTGCTATACACCTCACCCGTTGAGAGTTTGGGACTTGTTATTCCATTCAGCCATGCAATAACTTAATCCATTGCTTAAACTCGAACATAATAACGTAGATGTGTGATAAAAACTTTATGTACTTCAACAATTTGTAATAATTTCCAGAATAATGCGTATTTAATTATTATGAGAACATGTGAAATAGGATCAAGAATAGATAAATTATAATCCCATCAATTCTAAAACGTTGCTAGAGCGCGTAGTAAAATCAGTCATAAATAAACAGGACATGAAGAGAGGGTATTAACTTTAACTTACAGAAAATATATGGATAATTTGAATTCTTATCTGTATGGTATGTTAGTACAAATAAGAAGCATAAGTTATTATCGATAGTACAGATACTGTAGAGCTGTGGGACTGCGATTTCCCTTTACGAAGGAGTTATGTCGAGAGAAGAGGAGGGAGGCTACGACTTAGGCAAATGAGACCATATTAACCCTTCCGTAACAGACGGGCGTACATATTGCTACAAGCAAAAGTCTTTATTATATGGCGATAAGATGGAGCAACCTGCAAATGATAACATCTTTGAAATGAAAAAAGAAGAGAATCTAGTTCTGTCCTATAGTTATAGTTACAAAAAAGACTATCTAATGTTTAAAACTGGTCACACAAGACGGGATCTCAAAGCTCTACTAATCTCAGCGTCAGTCGGTTGATAAAAAAGTTACAAATCTTATTTATACATAATCAGGTTAATGCCTTGTCTGTTTGCTGGTTTAGACAACATCCAAAATATTTAATTTATGTAGACGCACATAAAGCGAGTGACTAACAGCCAACTGGAACATTTTGCTGTTAAAAATAATAAGTAAGTAAGTAGATTGATACCTATGTACACTACATCCACGGTTTATATGTATCTGTATAATTGTACCTATATATAGAGGTATATATCACAGTATGTTACAAAACCTGTTTGTGTTTTATTATCCTTCGTTTCCTCCGTCTAGATTTTAAAGCGGTTTAGGACATTGAAACATCCTACATATGTTTTTAGTTTCCTTCTGATACCTGCATTATAATTGCCATCTGTCTGTGGCTTGTGAGTTGTGACAACTGCATTGTATTTATACTTAATTTATTATTATTTAACTCTTTGTTATTTCCCTCCGTTTTATTTTCAAGGCAGAGGTTGATATTGAGGTGCGACTTAGCGACTTTTGGTTGTAGAGGACCGTAGTTTTCCCTATCTGAGACTTCGTGAATAAGAAAACGTGGTTGCATTTACTTATGTATGTATGTGCGAGTATAAAAATAATCATGAGTATAAAAATAATCATCTTGATGCAAAAATACTACTTACAATGGTAGACCAAGTTCTCAACCTCCATGCTTGCTTGTTGCGCAAAAGTGCAGACTCAACTTCTAAACAATATAGGTACAAGTTTATCTTCAGAATGCCTATCTGCCTGTTTCTGACTGTTCTCAGCAATTACAGAATGAGTTAGAAGAAAATACACTACCTATTTCATTGTATGTATATTCCTAGGCCTACACAAACTATATATTTCTTGCATAGAAGTTTTTAGGTACTGTTCCTACAACTCTGCCTGTTGTAAGAAAGAACTTATCTTGAGGAATACAGAGCATTTTGTTTCTTTATATATAAAAACTTTAATAGTATAAAAAAGAAACTTATATAAAAATATGTGTTACGATAAATGCTTAGTTAAAATGTTCAGAAAATAAAACAGTGAAGAACTTCGAGCGACAATTTACCTACCAGTTGCTGGGTCATCAATAGTCATCATGTTAAAGTATGGATAGATTGGGTAGGTTCAGCATTCATGCTTTACTTCAGTTCGAATTAAGCACTTAGGTACAGTCTCTGAGATATAGTACAACATCCTACCATTGAATAACATGACATGTGTTAAAATGTCTACCGGTTTGTTACCCATTAAAACTTACCTAGTGTAAAAGTTGTAACTTAAAATATTTTTTACATTAACAAGCTGTGAAACTATACAACTTCTAGATATAGGTAATAGGTAATATAATAAACTTTAAATTAATACCGAATATATAGGTAGGTATAACTACTTATACTTTACTACTTACATGAAAACAAAATATACATTTACCTACCTCACAATAAGAACGATAGGTAGATAAGTGTTTTTAAATAATCCAACTTTCATTCACTGAACTACACTTTTATTTATAAATTCGCAACATTCGTATCACACACTCAGCACACTAATTCAACGTCCAATGTGTAGGAGAATCCAGTTATACCTAACTTCGCTAAAGTATTGTTCGCGCATACCGTTCGGTCGCATACAGAGAAGAAGCGCGGCCAGTCGGTGGCGGGTCAAACGCGCACTAAACTACGAGCGAACTCCATCCAATATGAGCAGAATGAAAATTGGAAATAATGCTACGCCGCCTCTACAATCTGGTTGGCCAATGCCAATGGTAACCAACGTTATAACAAAACACAAGCAATCATTGCTTCACTAGTATGGGAGTTGATTAATAAGACAGTTAAGAACACGGCAATGGACTAAATTCATCCGCCAATATGCTGTGGCAGCATTTCACTACGCGACACGCTTGGGTGCCCTACATCGGTACGTGCGATTCTCCGGCTGTTTATATATTTTTAAAATAAATAACGCTATTCTAAGTACCTACATAACAAATTCCCACGGCACCTTTTACCAGTCTTAGTAAATTAAAACATATAAGCTTGTCATTACCGTTAGGTAAACAACAGACAGGATTAGATTGTAGATACAGAACAAAAAAAACAAATTGTACCTAATATCGAGTCATTCAGCCACTTAGGTAAATGGTATTGGCTATAATGAATTTAATAACAAGATAATCGTTTGTTTTTTTTTTATTCTAACAAACTTTTTAGGGGCTTTTATCACAGATATGTCAGCCCAATCGTACCCTTTACATTACTTTACATTACTTAACTATTATATTTTCCTTAGGTAGGTACTCTAGAGAATCACTTGATTAATTGTTATTCGTGGAGGACCAAAATCAAATGGCACAACTTTTTCATAATCGCTGAAGCTGGTACAGATAAAATAGATATTATATAATGCCTACATCAAATTTATTTATTTTAAAATCCTTTACGAATATCTCACGTTCAGCTCCGTTCCGAGTACACTCCATCAGCAAATGTTGGACATCTTTGACAATCGGTTTCTTATCCCCAAAGAGGTAAATATCAGTACCTAAGTTCCCATACAAGTATCTAACAGGGGTGAGCCAGTACCTACCTACATACCGGATACCATTTTAGAATCTGGTATCAGTGCTGTTACTGGCGGTTCCTATAGCCGTCGACGTTAGTAATTTACTCAACCTGGGAATCGAACCTAAGTAATCATTCGCCTAAATAAACATCATCAAAGTAGGTAGGTATAGATAAAGGTATTAACTACCTACCTACTTATTTAGTTTTCAAATGTCTGAAATGTATTGGTAACCTCTGTAAACTGTAAGGTACTATAGAAATTAGGTACATTAAGAAAATTCAATATCTATTGACGATCATTAGATTTTGTATGGGATAGGGAAACACACAGCACATCATCACATCACCTCATGGTATAACATACCAATAGGTGCCATCCGTGGGCATTCACAATACCAGAAGCATTATAAGTGCGAAATACAACCCAAGTTCTGTTTCACGCCAGTTTTCTGTGAGGCCGTGGTATCATTCCAGCAGAGCAGGCAAATTCTTATCAAAATGTGAATCTCTTACAAGAATAGATAGGTAAGTACCTGCTATAACCGTAATAGCTAATTATCATGTATAGACTTTTCTTTATTACGAAATAGATAGTTTAACTTTATTCGGCACAGGAACTAATCCAAGATCTCGTAGGCACTCTGTTGTCGGGAGATACTTACCTGTATGGGAAACTAACTAGGAACACTATATCAAAAGAAAATACCAATCCTAACGTATGTACTTTATAATCTCTTAATAGGTCCGCTTTTCACTCGTCATAATAAGTAAAATACTTCAAGATTTTTGAAATGAAAAATTAACACCCAAAAGTAGTCTATATTTTTACTCGAATCCTTATGATGACGTAACGCCATTGGCTGTACAAACTTAGAGGTAGTCAGGTAATCAATCATACAGTATAGATTCACAAATTCCCATTATTAAAATATTAAATACCTTTACCTTTAATATCTCATAGGCTCACCACTATAAACAGAAAGCCTTGAGTCTAAATTATTGTAAAATTAAAAAGTAATAAAAGGCATTCCAATGTTACTAGCTACAAATTTTCACCTAAGTTCCGAGGAGACCACGCATAAATACAAGCTGCATCATAGATCAAAATTTTTTAAAATTGAAATACTTCTTTCTGTTCTACTAATTTACTTTTATATAAGTGTTGCAAATATTATTCGAGAATTGTAAATCAGCGTTGAACTAAATAATATTAATGTATATTATAGAAATTATAAGGCTTATGTATTTTAAATAGTTGCAACCCCCGGTATTAGTTGACCAGCCAATAAAATACTTTCGACTCGTTGTCGAAAGAAAAAAAAATAGAAAAAACTTGTAAAAGATTTTGCTGCAGTAATTTAGGAAAAATTAATTCAACTCAAAAACATGTAACTCATTATATGACCTAAGTGATTAAAAAGTTTTTTAGAAGATAAAGCTTTTAACAGTTATAAGTTCGTAATATTATCTTGTTTGAAGTTAATTTTATTATTTGCTATTTTTTCCTCCACATTTCATTACTGTAACATTATTATAATGCTCTGAATCTTATAAATGTCAGTAAATAAAAACTGAATGTTATGGCTCCTGGTAACAACGAGCGACATCCAAGTCATACGGGAACTATACCCAAGACAAAAGTGCGAAATAATTGTAATGTTCCACAAGAAGCTGTAACACCAACAAGGAGAGACATGACGACCAATCTCGTAACGGTAAGGATTACTGCATAACCGAACCACTTAACTTACTCAATATTACATGCCAATGCCATTTCCACCTGCATTCATACCTTGCAAAATGTCTTGCACCTTGCCATATTTCGGCCTTTCATTGCGTGGCTGTTTTACTTATGGAGTCATTGAACATTTATTACATATTGCTTATAAGTCTGCTAATAATATTGCCACTTGGAGTACAAATATGTTAATCATTTTCTATGTACCAACAAGTAGAAAAAGTAATTGCTAAACTAATTAGAAACGACCTAACTAGCAGATATCTAGTTTGTTTTGGTCTGTGTCTTGGCCTCTAAATGTTTCACCTATTCATCAACATTACCTCTCATTGCTTTGGCTGGTGTCCTATTTCTTATTGATCAATAGGTACAAAATTCTTTACTTATTAAAATTTAGTCCAATTTTCATCTTATTTAAGTTTTAATATAGCTTTAGCTATATTGTGGTACATGTATATTCAAACTCATGTCTAGTAAAACTTGACACTATAAAGCTATGTTAAAACCCACATTACACTTGTAAAGAAATATATACCCACATTATACATTGTTTACAAAATAAACAATTTAATGTGTACTCACTCTAAAAAAAGTAATCCTGTACTTGTAAAACAGAGGTTACTTTGACACTTGCACCCTTTTTAATCAATTGGGTAGCTATTCTATAAATAGGAAATTCATAAAAGTAATAAATTAAATGAACATTCCATTATCTAAAAATAAACAATTTAAAAAGTAGCACTTAGTTGATAGATTTTTATGTGGAAACCACAAATAACATAATGTTAATAAATTAATATTACAACTCCCCTGTTAAAAACTACACTACCTGAATAAAAATACTTTAAAATAGGCAGCAAAAATAAAATAACAACTCGTGTGATTCTTAGCAAAGCTTGAACACATGTGAAGTCCGTATGAGTTTATTTTTGGAAACCTGAAAGATTCATGTATTTGAATTGGTGCCAAGCTGCCATGGTTTGTGACACAGATAATACTGAACAGAAAACAGTTCTGATCAATTTATTCTATTCTATTGAATTACTTTATAGTTATTGTGTAAAATATTGGCTACTGTGATTGTGTTTTGCATTCGTAAAAACATTCTTATGGGAGGTTGTTTTTCTAAATTTAGTGCACCAAAGGTGTGTGCTGTACTCTTTCTGTGCAACATATTTTAGGAATATGTGGGACATGTGATTTTTGTAAGCAATTATTTTTTAGACATCTCTTGATTGGGTGCCCGTCTCAGAATACAACAGTCGTTCTAACTACAGTCAGTCGAGGAAACCAACAAATAATACATCGGATCATGAACTAACTGATTTGGGTAAGTTCACAACTTCACATTATCATATTCATATAACCAAATTGGGATTTGAAACATTGCTATATTGTATTTTGTGTTGTTTTAGACAATTCAGTATCATTTGAGAGTGGATTTGGAAGGTTTGTGCCAGTTAGACCTCAGCCGCGCGCGTTACCGCTAAACGTGCAGAACCGCGAGAATATATCCACTGAACAACATGACGATGGTGCTGGATCATCCTTGTCTGGCCACACTTTGCATCCCTATGTACATCAGATGCAGAATGGTAATAACTTTGTCTGTTTCCATTTATTTATTTATATACTGCTGTGTACTTCTGACATTTGATACTTTAACAACTCATAGACAGTATAACTACTTGTCTTTCAAAACTAGATATTATTATATTCTTGTGAGAATACAAATCAATTGGTGTACAACATAGTTTTTGTATCAAATTTTCTTATGAGTTATTAAAACCTTTTAGGTCTAATTCCTCACTCCAATCATGCATCAGCAGCTGTAATGATAGTTAATCCAACTACACCAAATGCTGTAACTGGGAATGTTTCACAACCATTTAATGTAAGTACCTGTAATAATTAAAACATTTAGATATTATTGTTTAAGAAACAAAAACATTTATAAAATTGTTTATTTCAGGCACCAAATCAAAACAGAAATAATTTAACTAGGAACTTGAATCCTTCTCGAAATAATTTCGAAGGGAGCCACGCAAGCAACAATAACACAACACCACCAATATCCAACTCTAGAACTGGAACAAAGACTGTCAACTTAATCAACAATATGTATGAACAGGGACAAGGCGGTTTCAACAATCTTAATGAGAATAATCATGTAAGAGAATTCATTACTTTATTCTGAACCTTTTAATTATAACCATTAGCATTATGAAGCAATGCATTAAAGATTATTTTTAATAAGTGTTGTATCTCCCCCAGGTGCACCGGGAATCTGCCCGAGCTTTGGGGGAGGCAATAGCGGCAGCATGTCCTGATGCAGCGGCTGTAGAGCGCAGACTTGGACAAATACGAGAATATATCAGGGTTACTTCGTCTCTCGTCGATACTATGCGTAATTCTGAAGAAGAGGTATGTTTTCACATCAATTTGATTTCTAGTCATAAGATCATATGAAAAATGGTTGATATTATTTCTAATTTAGGCTTTTATTGAACACACTAAAGAAGAATACGATGAACTGGTAGAGATGGTAATGAAATTGAAGGAAAGTGAATCTAAACTTGTGAAAATGCTAGATGCACCAGAGAATGTTGAAGTACCTGCTGAGGAGACAGATGGAGTTGTCATTGTAGAGATACCAGCTACTGATTCTCATACAGAGAGCAAACCTGAACCTTCAGTAGAGACAAACTCGAAAGTAGACAAAACATGTAATGTTAAAAATGCGCCTGATAGTAATGTAATAAACAATAACTTGAAAAAGGTTACTAACATTGAAAATGAGCAGCTGAATAAATCCATGCATAGCATTTTGAAAGAAGAAGACGGTCACGCTCAGGAAGAAATCAAGAGAGCTGCAGATGGTGTAACTATTGTAGTCGAAAACGCAGAACCTTCATCATCAGCACCTGACACTGCCGATGTTAAAGAAAATAAAATTCAAGTGGTTGACGAAGACGAAATAAGGAAAGACGACCAAGAATTAAAAGATATGCTACGGAAAAATATACTTTCGTGTGTGGAAAAAATAACGCGGATAGAGGAGATGAAAAACAAAAAGAAAGATTTGAATACACGCAGCGATCAGGTTTATGTTTGTTACTGTGAACTATGGAGTGTGTCCCTATGTTGTGAGCCGAACAATCCATAGCATGAAGTGGATGCAATATCTTGAAGCAGAAAATAACCGTCTCTAATAACTATTGCAATACTTGCCGAAAGGCATTTGATACTTTATGTCGTGTCAAAGCTGCTTCTAGCTTTAACTTAGACTTCCAGCTTTGATTTTCTACTCATAGATAAACAACTGTTTTATGTGGATAAATCATAATATTATAACATTTTTGTACAGGTTTTTGCATGCTAGAATCCATCGTTCGTTCCTTACAATTGGAGTTAATATGGAATAATAAACTCATAACCTACAACAGTAACCTTCATTTTGTGCGGGTGTTCCTACTCTACACATTAACACGTTTATAGACTTTAAATCACATTCGTACAAATCCGCGCACTGATTGCGCATGCAGAAATGACTACGTACGAGCTATTTCTGCTGTAAAGATAGATTTAGCCTAGATGAAGATATCACTAATGTGTCTAGTTTATTAGCATTTGAAATTTTTAACACAATCTCTACACATCTGTTTGTTTTTGTGTTACCCTCAAACCAATAGAATTATTTTTAGTATCTTATTTACTTAAATGGTTACCTTAATTTGTATGTATTTTGTTAGGATGCAGTAACGCGACCAGTGTCGGCCCAAAGCAACGGCTCCACGTACAGTGACAATGAACTGTGGCAAAATGAGATTAAAAATAAAATGGAAATGTCGCAAATGCGTTTGGCAGCTTTGAAACAACAACAACGGAGGCTCTTAAAATATCAGGTATGTTCTGGAAATAAGGCACTCCTTGCGTTAAGGCGTTCCACTGGAACATGTTGATTAATTATCAAAAAACTAATATTCTATTTTTTTCTATTACAGGAAGAAGCAAAGCATCAATTGGAAGAGATGAATAGGGATAGGGAAAGAGAGAGACAAGCTCAGGAGGTGCAACCTTCTACTTCACATGACAACTTTGGTGGAGCACAAGTAAGTTTCTTCTACATTACGTCACTTTCCTACCGAAATATAAGCACCTATTAACATCTATTTATATTATTTCCAGAACCAATCGCTAGGTGGTAATTACCATCACGCAAATCGTATGTACGCTGCCAACCAGCAGATAGGTGTTGCGACCACGTTACCGCATTCGTCAGAAGCTCTGCACTTACAGCAAAACATGACTGCCAGTGTAGACACTGACCATGGACACTCAGTACATTCTGCACATAGCCAAGATGATAGGTTCTCGCATCGGGATACGAATGTTACTGGAAGTGAGGTAGGTGAATAGATATAAGAAAGTTAACAAAGACGCTATTTCTTGTTCTAGTTCTACTGCGCTACGTATTTCGGGTTCGATTCCTACACAGTAAAGCGTAGTGTGATCCACAAATTGTTGTTCCACTGGTAAAGCGCAATAAGTTACCGCGGCCTGACCTTGGAGCAGGAGTTGAAATGGGGTAGTTTTATCAGTAAGAGTCTGATACACCCTTAGGTCTGTAATGTGACCTGTATGTAACACACGACATAGTAGAAAATAGGCCCAATACCGGGCGCGAGCAGGTAGAAAGAAAAATAAACAAACGGGCTATTTATGATATATATTTTATCAGGAGGCAGCAGGCGTTGGGCGTGACAGTGAGGCAGATGATGACGAAGTTCTTCTGAATGAACGCAGTCGTATTTTACAACTCAAACTTAGAGAATTGCAGATGAAGAAGCAACATATGGAAAGTTTGGTATGAATACACACACCGGTTTAGTTTAAATTCGATTGCTATTGCAGAGTTATAATCTTATTTTCTTCGGTATTGTTTGTAGGTGCAGGAATTCCAAAAACTCCAAATGGCAACTCATCTAGGATCCGGCCGTAACAACTACTCTAGCTCAGGCGAAGACAGTGGTGACGAAGAATTACCACGAAAATGTAAATATTTGATTCACTGGCTTACGTTTCTGTGCCATAGTAGTTCACTTGAATATTCCTTAATTATCTTTAATATTTTTAGGCAATAAACCCACAACCAACAATAAAAATGATGATCCTTTCAAATTATTGGAAATAAAAGCAATTAAGACAGCTCTTCAAAAGACAAAAGGTATTTGAAATGTTTCAAATGATTAATTTTAACATGTATTCACCATCCTTTAGTCACTATTAATAAAATTGATTGTTTTTTTACAGATTTGATGAGAACAGTAGAAAATTATGAATCAGAACACCTTTCTACGGCTCACGATGATTCTTTCAGAGAATTATCGACTCACTCGAATATTCATGACAAGTAAGAATTTTATGTTAAAGATAAATAGAAATAGATAGGCACAAATATTATTATCAAAAGTGTTATTTTCCAGACTACCTGAAATTCGAAATCAATATTTGTATCAATTAGCAATTATAGTTGTTCAGATTTGAATGGTTTTTATTATGTTTTAGTAAATCTGAAGGAGGAGGGAGTATGGGCGGCTGGTCTAACGAAGGCAGCATGTGTCGCGTGCGCAACTCGTTGCCGCAGCGACACAAGTTCACCAACGAACAACACTCGCAGCAACACTCGCAGCAACACTCGCAACAACACTCGCAACAGTTGCACGCGCAACAACAACTTGCGCAACCACAACATCATGCGCAACCACATCACGCGCAACAGCAACAAAGTAAGTCTTTACGATATTAATTAGAACTTTTAACCATTTTTATTCTTTCCGCAGTCTGTATATTTACAATACATTAGCTTAATATACAACGTAATAAAACTATTAACTATCGTTTTACAAAATATGTGTAAGAATTTTCAAAAGTATTATTTGATTGTAAATATACTTATTAATTTTGTTCAATTTATTCTCCGTTAAATTAAAATAACTGACAAATGAATACATAACTATATAAAGATATTTATAAAATGTGTTTTTATTGGCGTCAAATCAGGTCACGAGGACAACATAGCGACGCTGCAGGAGTTAGCTCAAGAGCTCCGTATGGAAACGGAGAAGATTATGGGTGAGCGTGCTCGCATCAAGGACATGATATCTAATAAGGGTAAGTTTTGTGAATATCATCTTCATTAAGATTAGTAAGAAGATGTTCGGTGTTGAACCTTTTTTCAACACCTTTGTTTCCACTTGAAATCACTGTTACGAAAATCACATAAACTTGAGGACATGATTAGGCATTTTGACTCAGTTGGAAGATTCGAATCATAAGAAGGTGCCTCACGTGTTGCAATTAGTTCGTTATTGAGACTAAATAGCTGGTCGTACTACCTGTTTACCTTTTACCATCAGACTTCGCTAAACAATTGGTGGGGTAAGGAATATAGCCTAATCGAAAAAGTCCTTTTTCCGTTCCGTTGCGAGAATAAAACGCCGTTTCGTTTTTACTAATTGTTGTTTTGTAGAGTAATTAATAAAACCTAACTTTTTTTACAGAAGTGAGCCGTAAGCAAAAGAAAGTGAATGAAGAAGTGCGCGCTGGTCCGAGTGGACAGAGCGTGCCAAGCAGTGCGCCCGGGCCCGCCGAGCGACGACAGATGCAACTACGGGCATTACTCGCTGACAAGCAACGCGAACTGGAAGCTCTACTCAACAAAGAGGTGTGTCAAATAATCATAAAGCGGACAAAGCCGGGGTTAAAAGGTACTTCACTTTTTAACCCCGGCTTTGTCCACGTGAGTTAAGCCCATGTCCATCTCCATACTACCGACTTTAGGTATGTATGCAAAATGACATTAAAATTGGTTGAATAGATAATGTGTAAAGAGGTAAAAAACTTCAGTATTCATCTAGTTCGTGCTTCATTCATAGTGTTATAACAGTCAATGAAAATTACCTCTAAGATATGTTTAACTCAGGTTTTGTTGTTTTCATTTCAGAAAGTTCTATGTTCGGCTCCTGAGCCCCAAAATATGAAGCAAGAATCGCGCAGCGCGTCTGTTGTCAACCAATCATACAATAGGTATGGTTTTTCCTATTGGCAATCCTTGAGCAAACTAATATCATAGTGTTGTCACGAAACACGAGACCAGGTTTTAGTTCATCTTACCAAAAAACAAATATGTACCTTTCAGTGAACAAGATCGAATCAGCGAGCCTGAATCAAGATCTGAGCAAATACTGCTGGATTCGCAAGACTCTAGAGAGACAGAGAACTTTAGGGTATGTCATTCTTATTATAATTTCTTGGAAGTAGTAAAGAACGTAAGAAATTAGTACATAATTATTAAATTATCTTCCTTATAGGGCGGCGGTGACAGCGCTATGGGTGGCAGATCTGCCGCAGCTTTGCCTCCTCATATGGGCAGCGCTTACGGAAGCGACACAGATAGGTAACTCGACACATCAAATTATTATTTGTAAAGTAAACTAAAAGGCTTTAGTACTGATATATGTATTTAACTCTTCCACAGTGCATCTAGGAATAAATCTAATCAGAGAAACCGGGTCCGCCGACGACAACCCCTAGAGAGACAGACAGATGATAGTAGTGTAAGTTACTTTCCCTTTCCTTCTATATAGCCAGTACAGACTTTAATGAGGAGGAGTAAGTAATGTATGAATATTAATTTGCAGCTGACTCAGTCCAACAATACAAATCAGAATATACGTCACGAACCTAGAGCGGAATCGTCGAATGTCAATATGGTGCCGCCAATTTCTCAAAATGGTGAGATTATAAATCAAATCACTTTTATTTGTTATTTTGTTTGAACGCGCTAATCTCCGTAACTACAAGTCTGATTTGAATTAATCTTTTTGAGTTGGATAGCGCATTTATCGAGGATGGCTATAGGCTATAAAACATCACCTTACGACCAATAGGAGCTGAGCAGAGCGTGTGAAACCGCGCGGAAGCGCTTTACTTCACATTTTATTAATAAAATGTCAGTAAGTGCAGTCTGTTTAAATTCCTTTTTATATATCAAATATTCTATTTTAGCTGGAGAAAACCCTGGACACATGCCTTATCCACACATACCACCGCCTGGCTGGAATACAAGCAATAAATCCAACCAGGTAAAGTATAGAACTTAATTTTTATTTCTTATTTCTTGTTACTAGTACTGTAGTAGAGTTCTTTGTCGCATAATTCTTCCTCGATAGTATGGAGTGTAGATATATTTCTAACGTTTATGCAATATATTTACTTTAAGGATATGAGGAACCAGTTCACGCAGAACAGTCACTCTCAGACTATGGAGCGTTTAATGGGAACTCCACAACTGTCCTTCCCACCGTCCATGCCATTCAACATGATGATGCCATACAGTAAGAAATTGTTTTAAATGTACTCTGTCGGTGAAATACTCAAACGTCATTCAATTTTAAGTTGCACCTAACCTGTAAATCCATCCCCTAAATTTGTTCATACAAAAATAGTCTCTAAACATTGGAAATAAGGTCTACAATGTAGTTAGTGGAGAGCGGTCAACGGTGACCGCTTGGGGATATAGTTCTGTCACTACAAATTCTTTGTAAAATGACAGAGATGATTAAGTTGAACTTAAATATCATGATATTTAAGTTCAGTTGAGTAGCCTTTCAGTATTCACACGAGTGTCACTTAAATAGTTTGAACAATGGATTAATTATTTATCATCATTATCAATCCGGTTCCTTGCAATGCTGGACGACTAATTTACTTACGAGATTCTGACAATCCCCTTGTATTTTCCGAAAGGTTGTTATCATATTATATTTCCAAGGTCAAAATAATATTGTAATTTAACAGTGATTGTAATGAATCAGGTATGGTGGGAGGATGTAGCTGTGGATGCGGGTTCTGGGGCGCGTGGTGCTGGCAGCAACTCGTCATGCAGCAACGGGAACTGCACCAGCTCCGGGAACAACTTAACCATGTGAGTGTTATACTTTAGCTATCCCTGTACATGACGCCACCAAAACATTACGTCGTTTACTTTTTTGCGATTCTATTTATGATCACGTAGAACAAACCACGACTAACGAACATTATTGTCATTTTATTTGTTATACTTTAAAACAAATGTTGGTAGTTAATTTTTTGTTTTGTATTCTAGATGGAAGAACGCTGGCGCGCAGAAACAGCGTCGCACACGCTGAATAATCAAGTTCCTCCGGGAAACAGAGCTAATAATTATTGGGATAACTTCCGCAGGTAACTATTAACACAAGCCATTTAGAAATGTAGGAAACACATAAATTAGCATTATTTATTTATTATGCTTTTCTCTTTTCAGATATTAGAATACAAGCATTGTTTTCATTTATTATATTTTCTATTTAATTATAATATACAACGTATTTATGTATTTTTTACACACTTCAGTTCAAGGGTGAGGAAAATGTTTGCCCTAGAATATTCCTTACGGATTCAATTTTTATTTCATGCTTTGTGATGAGACTAATCATACGTGCCTGTGTGATTTTATAATACTCATGACGTGTTTGTATGCTAACATTATTACAGTATTGTATTCAGCTTTTTGTTTAATGTAATGTGAATGAGAAACTATAAATAACAAGTCTGTAATTTTTTCCAGTTATTCGCGACAAAATCTTCTGTCGGCCAATAACAAAGCAAATGCTGATGGGCACTTAGGAGTTGGGCCCGCTCATAACCCGCACCCTTTGGTCGAAAGATCTCATAATACACTCCACCGTACCCCCTCAGCCACGCCTCCTTGTATTACTCCTAAGAGAAATACTAACGCTGCCAGTTCATCTCACAATGCTGCGCAATCATCTCAGGCAAATAACGATGACGTACCAAACAGACATACGCGACGGAACGTTGCCTACGAAAGATCCCTTTCCTTCTCATCTGCTCCAGACGTATTGAACGTAAACCAGAATCCCGACGCCGAAACGCCCACAGCTTGCCTTTCAAGAAATATTGAAGAAAACAATGTCTCTAGCTCATGTAATATCAATATTAATCGCCAAGACGCTCCATCGAACTCTTTTAGAAATTTGAACATAACCAATCCTATTCCAGAAATTATACAGGCCCATGCAAATAACTTAAACACGTCTGCTAACAGCAAAAAGAAATCATCTTCTAAATTACCTGCTAAGAATTCAACTAATCGAAGAAATTATACTTTGGATTATTCACAAATGAGTAACATTAACATTGCAAGCACTTCTGAGATGCCTAATCCTAATTTAGCGTCAACAAGTCGCGAAGTGCAAGATAAGGCTACATCGAAGTTGTTTGATCTTCTCAGAGAAAATGTTTATTCTGAAGTGACAGCTTTGATTGATGTAAATGAATCTCACCCAGATTTTTTGATACAGCTGTTTAGAGAGCTACAGCTGATAAGTTCTGACACTTTGCGACAGAAAGTGCTACAGTCTATACGTGGTGTACTATCTCAATATAGTTCCATTATTGAAAGTCAAAGCAATGAAAGCGCCCATGACGAGAATAGACAAGAGTCAGTTTCAACGACATCGGGTGAAGCTACCGCGTACAATGACTGCAATGCGTTACCTATGCAAAATGTGGCTGGAAATTCTCTGCAACTTGACAATAAAATAGTGCGTTTTTTACTGTTGAAAAGCGATGAGACATGCACTGCGGAATTTTTAGAGACATTAGTATCTCTTATATTGAGCAACACTGCTGATGGTAGATATACTCAACAGGCCAAGAGGCGGCTGCTTGAGTTACTTTCTAAATACGAGGGTATGCGAGTTTGTGATGTTTCTGGCGACATTATTGAAAATTTGCCAGTTTTCATACCCTCTAGTAATGAAAGTGAGCCAACACAACTGACAAATGAACTATCTGAATCTGCAATCCTGCAAGATGTCGCTGGCTCCTTAAATTTATTCAGTTCAAGCGACAGCCAGTTGCATCAGCTAAATGCTTGTCCTTACGACCTGTGGCCTGGGCATGTTCACATGGATATTGAGAATTCGGACATGAACGATAATAGCCCACGTTCTAGTCAAGAAGGAAAAGTTGATCTCATAAATTGTTCAGAAATGCATAATGGTGATTTGGCGGAGGCCGACCAAACTCGATGTGACGAATTAGAAGATGGCGCAGTTAATGGACACGATGAAGCAGGAGCTAACGCAGAGGCCCTACCCGACGTGGTCGACACGGAAGAAGTCACACCGACAGAGGTAATGCAACACGTACTGTATTGTAGATGCCTGCCATTAATCAATTGTGCTAACCGCAATGATTGACTACTTTTATAACATGTCTAACAATATGAGCCAAGTAATAATTACGAGGGGTTGGTTGGGGGATACCTCAATGTTTACATTTCAATACTATTTATCCTTCAGCTAAGTGCTCCCTTGCTTTTGTAGCTTTTATTCTAATTGAAGTTTCAACTGTAACATGGTAATGGTAACCCCAATTTTATAATACCTGGGTTTGTAAGCACATAATCACATGAAAATACTTAGGCCACATTTATTAATATTATGTACCTATTAATATTTTTTGCCAAAATACCTGTTGGATTGATCCATTACGTGAATGTTTTTATTATTATTATTTGCAGTGGATGTATATTGTATAAGGTTTGTAAGTTGATTCTTGTTTTTGTGGCCTAAGTTGCTCATTTCCAACTCGTGTATGTATACTATGCACTTTTCTATGTGAATTCCTATTTGTCATGTGTTAACTATAATTTATTTTTATATTTGTAATATTTTGACACTTAAAAATAAACTGAAATATTCATAATTGCATTTTCACTTCTGAAGCATACCACCAAAATAAAAAACATTGTACATTTCCAAGTATTTATTACATTAGCATTATCAGGTACAAATACATTATATCACAGACAGAGGTTTTGGTAATAAACCTATGATTTTAATCTATGTATACAACCTGAACATTAAATACCAATTTGTATGTTAAAGACAAACTGTAAATTGTTGGTATGTTTACATTAAAGGCGGAAGCTGAGTGGCTTGGACTTGACCGTGTGCCAACAAGGCTGCACATGGAAGAATCATCTGAAAAACAAAAAGGTGAAGTTATTACACTAGTAAAAATGGAGCAAAAACCCAAACTAAGCCATTTTGACTTTTAAATTGTTTGAGCTTCAACTGAAAGAGAAATACATAAATTAAAGCTTCTTACTCCACCTGTAACAGAAAAACAAAGCAAATTGAAATAATTAGTGTTTTCTTTTTTTTTTCAGATTGAACTGTGAACTTTGATGACGCCCTGACGAAACTAGTATTACTGAATGACTATTATTATTGTATCCCACTATTATATTATTGAACTACTCTTGTCATAAATACTTTGTGTAATATATAAAATATATATTAATAAATAATCTTAAACAAATACTTTTATTTTTAAAAAAACATCCACCCTTTGACCTATTATACTTTTATTAAAATAAAAAACTTACACTAATTATAAAGAAACATAAGCATATTTAAAGTGTACAAAAAGTAGCATATATTTCTTAAAGTCCCAATAATTTTAGTCTTAAAAAATATCACACATGAATAGGAGTCACAGACACTGTATCAAATGAAAAATATTTCCTCCGTGAATGTTCCAATATAATGATTCCATGACACTGATATCTTCGGCACTTGTATCCAATTTCACTGTCTCATTTGTCTCAGGTTCAATGGTTTTCTCTCTTTGTACTTCTGCAGATAAAATGATAATTTTCTAAATTATTTTTGTCTCATGACATTGGTATTGCAGTAGAGATCAGATCATATGGACCATGAGACAACGAGATATGTCTGGATTGTTGTGTGTTGGGCGAAGTAAACATGGATTGTAGTTGGAAGTCGATGGCACCATACCCTCTGAAATAAATTCGAACCTCATCACACTGGGCCTCAAGTTTCAGACAGGAAGCCCCCAAGCCAAGTTTTGTTGCTGTTTCAACTTTTTAAGTAGTTAACTTATCTTTATGGTCCCAAGGGTAAGCACATTAAATATTTAAGATTTTTCCTGGTATTAGTCAATCTTTTCCTTAGAAAATATGCATTATGCCTAATAATTGCTTTCAGCATTGTTTTGTTCGTGAGTAGGCTCATAGGTAGCTCAAATAAGGGCATGTTACAGCAAGTATTCATGAGGATTCTTCTTGTGCAAATGACATTACGAGAGGCCTTTCATCTCTGATCTATCTCAATCGTTTTGATGCATTATTACTGTGTTTCCATACTATTTTGAGCTGTGATTGCTATCTGTAGTATTACATTTCAATTCATCTTTGTTTTAGTGCGACTATATTATCATAGTAGCCATTACCATCCTGTGAGAAATCTGGAATCACTGAGTAGGCTCTTCCCACAGAACAATCAGAATTCGGTATTAAGATTAATCACACAAACCAGATTTGGAATAACATGCATACATGGACATGTATTTTGCTTTCAATAATTTCATCCAAGATCTTCCTGTAATACCATAGTCACAAAATGGTTTTATTGTTCTTGTATAATATGTTTATCTTGGAATGGCATTCAACATGCAGCATGATATAGCCTGTCCAACTCAAGCATCAGCATTCCATTAGAGCATGAGAAAAGTAAGTCCTTAAAATATTGATCTTACCTTGCTCCAGTTGTGTGCATTCTGAATCATCTTCGTGAATCTTCACCTCTGTATGTGCCATTGTGCATTAAATGCTCCTGTGTGCTAATTATTAATGTTGCTAATGCCATTGAAATGAGAGTAACTTTAATGTGCTTAACCTATAGGATACTAATTTTAAAGCATATTACTGACAGATATTAAATAGATTGGCAATGTTGTGTGCAGAAATGTTGGGAGTGGGAAATGCTGTGAAAAATGTTGTGAGTCAATTTGTAGCAACATGTTAAGATTTCTTATTATTTTTAAGCTTCAAAGATATCAATTCTCTTTAGTGTTTTTGATAATCATGTGCATCAATAAAATTATTTTATTATTTGTTATTTTGCCAATCTATGTAATATTTCTTGAATTAAATCAATGCCAACTAAATTTGTGACTTGCAATAAAAACATCATTTTTTTAAGATTGACTTGATACAAAAAATCTATTAGCAGTGATATATTTTGAATTTAACCATTGATAAATCAACCAAAAGTCGTTCAATTCCACTTGTGTTAAAACCTGTGAGCCCAAATACCATTTTAACATTGCCATATTAAAGCTAAAATGTGGTAAACTTTTGAAACAACCAGTTGGACTTGAATATTCAAAACAGATTCTTTATAATGTTGAATAATATGGCAATGATGATGTTATTGAAATATTAGCACACTTAACAATAGACTGCCATTATGAACTTGTACAATTAATATTAATAAAAGTGTTATATTCCATTATTTTTATACAATGCATCATAATTCCACAAAGAATGTCTGTTTTAAAAGTATAATAATATTGCTACAGTGACTAGCATTATTGTTGGTTAATTGTATGTTTTAATTATTATAATTTACATATTATTATACCACATTGACTTAACATCATGTAATAATAAATAATTTTACAAGTACAATAATAAATAATTCAAATAAGTATACCCATACAGTAAAAACCTTGTTTATCTGAATCTAACAAAGTAAATGAAATTGTTGAATCTAAATAACATTAGATTATAAATCTTTTAGGGTTGTTTTTTCCAACATCAGATAAATTTGAACTGAGGAAAAACATAATTATGTCAATTTTATTCTAGAGTTGAGAATTAACTGATGATTGAAAAATCGACCCTCAACTACCCAAGTACTGTTTCTTTGTTATTTTAATTACCATATAGAATCAGATTAACATTATTTTATTGAAAAGTAATTATAGGAGTGTCCTAGACAATAATCACTTTAATCAGGGAAGTTTTACTGATAAATAATTATGTAAACATTCTATTCTAGGTCAGTTTTTCAAGTAATATCACTCAATAAACTTAACAACATAAATTATGTGAAAAGATATCTGCAACCATTTTTTTCAAAGTAATAACACACAAACTCAAAATAAATACTAGCAGTACTGGTACAAACTAGTCCAGGCATAACTAAGAAAAGTTTAGTGAATTATCAATCTTTTAAGTCACAGAAGCAGGACTTAAATGAGGAATAGAAAACAAAATAATTATATTTAGCTATCATTACTAAGTATTCACTGTGAATAATGATCACCTGTATGCATCTTGGACTTGCATCTTCATTAATAGTTGTATCAAAAAATTATGTACTGTAACTTTATGCAATATTATTTTTATTTTGACTATAAGATGAGGAGCAACATTATAAGAACTTAAAAGCTTTTATTTTGCCACCAATTATTAGAAAGTACCTTTACAAGAAACATAACTTATTTTGTATGACACAAGAATACCAAACCAAATTATAATTGTTAAGATTTTATGAAGACATGCATTGAGAGCATAAGTAATAAATACTGTTTTATTTATTGAGTCTCTTGTGTGATAATAAACTGAGTTACATCTAAGCAAACATTTCGATTCTTATCTCTCTAATGCCATCTTCATAAAAGCTCAACAAGGTAGCAATGTGAAGGTGCAATATAAGTCTACACAATAAAACAAGTTAGTGAAACTGCAACAAAACTGTAAAATATCAAAAAGGCGGTAGGTACCATCTGCACAAATATGGCAATGGGAGACTTCCTACAAAGCAAAACTACAGAACAATCTTGTTGCTCCATTTAGGTAACATTATCAAATAAAATTGTGAAAGCATCTTTTGACATGTTAGGTTAGGAAACCTTAATGATTTGCATTCTTTTAAATGTTATTTAGTATTATGGAAATAAAAGGAAACATACCTTCTCGGATGCGTTTGCGTTGAGGAAACTCATCTTCATCGGCGCTCCGCTTCCTTGAAGTCGTTGTTTTGGAGGGCGTTCTCTCTGGGAGTTCCATCATTTCGCAATCTGTGTCAACGTGGTTGTCTTCGGATCTTTTTAGATCGTGGTAACCATAATAGCAATTGGTGGATATATGTACATTCTGACATTGGCCTATTGATTGATTGGCATCAGTGCAAATTGGGGCGGGTCGCACGGCGTCGAAATTATTTCTGGCGTCCTGCAGGTATGAACCAATGTTGCTCGCCGGCATTTTCCAAACTTGATATTCGGTGATGATGACTACAGAGAATATTACGGGATAATGCAGTAAGGCTAACTTTACGCGCTGCACTATATTCACTTTAACGTGTTACTGATACAAGCTCAATGTTTAAGTTTTTAGAAAATCTATAACAAGCTGGGTTGACGCTTTGTAGCTCTTCACTCTTTCTTTCGTTCGGAATCTTTCAGGAGGGAGCGGGGAGGAGTGAAGCGAATGACTTGAATGAGTGAGCTTCCTAATGTGACACTGACATTTGACAGTATTGACAATATAAGCCCAGACAAAAATGTAATATGTCAAACTATTACGGGAAACTAAAATAGTTGAGACATTGAGACCAAATGCCTTTTAAGAAAAAAAAAGTATTTTTTTTTAAGGGGGGAAAATCATCGAATAACTGCTCCCGCCTGGGTGAGGCGGGACGGGAAGGAGAGGGAGTGTTAGACTCTCACTGACTAAAAACCACCACATTCCTTCTCCTGCACGTCGAGCCGAAGCCCCGGCTTACCCTATATATTACTATACTCTTTGCCCCGGCTACCCGTTAGGTTCTCCGCGACAATAGGGGAAGCCCAGACACTTTAGAGGAGCTCCCACACAGTAGTTATATAACGTTAGAGACTGACTTACATTTATAACGTAACGTAACCTATATATAACGTAACCTTTATCATATCAGTGCTTTATTTGTTTGTTATGGTAGTAATAACTTGACGTGTTGTAGAGTATCGTTATTATAAATGTTATCGTGTTACACAATGTGATATAACGTTGTTATATAGTTGCTGTTTTGGAGCACCAAAATAAATAACTCTATGATTCATTCGCACTATGGGCTAGAAGACAAGAACGTTTCAGGGTGGCCCGCGAAATTAAAATTTACACGAATAAAATTAGCCATTTCAAGAAAGTTCAGTCCAGAGAAGGTTTAAAAGGTGAGAAACGAAAATAACGCAGTACGTAGTTTGCCGGGTCAGCTAGTCAGCTAGAAAGTGAAGCTGGTAGATTAGATAAACTAAACCACGATAATATTTTTTTCAATCTATGGTTTTATTGTAATTGTCAAAGATATCAATGTCAGATGTCATCCTTCACAGATTACATCTTCTTATTGTCATGTCATCTGATGTCATTTACTTACAAGTCGCGAATAAATATTCAAAATAAAAATAACTATGATTAGCGTTAATTTTAGTAATTAGGCCATAATCTTCCGTACACTTTAAGTATAATGTTAAATTAAACTTAACACGTTAGGGGCTCAAGTTCTTCATAAATATTCATGTGACTTAATACCTTCAAGGTTGAACATTTCGTATCAAACTATCATGTTGCCTTCGGTAGCCGCTAAGTGTTTCTACAGAAAATTAAGTAGACATTCAATAGAAATAAAATACTTGCATTCATTATGCTTTGGTGGACCCAGGATATTTCGACGAGATATTTTACATGAAAGCAAGGAGTTATGGCGATATGTTCACAGTTCTGCATACCTGTTGGATAAGACCAATTCTAAAAATGTTCTCGAGTCGGAGAAAGTTGTGGCTGAGAACGAAAATGTCAATAAAGTAATAAAACAGAGTCCGACTGGCGATATCATAGTTAAAACGGAGACTGATGCAAGTAAAGTGGTAACTAAGGTTACAATCGCGAAAATGAAGCTACCAGATAAGTCAGCAGAAGCACCTCCCCCAAAACCAGGTTACAATTATTACAATTCAATTTTTTCAAATTGTTTTAAGACCTTATTTGTTATGATTTTATAAAACCCTACTCTACTTCATACCACAGATTCCCTTCCTACTAGGAATCATACATACTAGCAGGTACTAACTGAGAATAATAATTTTATTTGATTATAGGTCTTCCAGACAGCTTTTGTCACATAAAAAAGCACAGATTACATAATCAAATTATAGCAAAAAAAATACTAATATTATATTTTAAATTTTCAGCTAAGAAAAGACTTCTAATAGATTTTTCAGCGTCTTATACTGAACGAAATTTTATAACTCCCATGAGAGCCATGACAGAGTATTTACTGAAGCAATCTGATTTGGAGTCTTTACCCAAAGTTTTAAGAAGGTCTCCATATGAATCTGAACCTCCAATGACTGTGCACTACCGCAAGGATGTAGAAGCAAAGGCATTGGAGGTAAGACATTATCTATTTTATTTGTATTTTATTATTATATTTCGAGGATTATTATGTTGTGTTATATAGTGATTTGAGTACTTGGTCAAAGAAATGTTTCACATAACTATAGAATTATTTGTTGTTTTATTTCTTTCTTGATTTTATTATCACTAATCATGTTTCTACTTAGATTTGGGGATCAAAGGAAGCTCTTGAAAAGGAACTATTAAGAAGGGAATTAGATAGAAGAAGATATGAACAAGGTATATTATAAACAAATATCTTATTTAGATTATATTGAATGAAATAGAATGAACAGAAGAAGGTATTTAGTGTCCAAAACTCTACACTTTAGTAAATATATGTATTAAAAAAAGCAAAATGTTACAGATGTGTTTACTGTGAAAAGGAGGCTAAGAAATTATAGAAGAGAAATGAGCCACACACGTCTTAGACATGGAGTGGAAGAGATGGGACTAAAGACGAGGTCTGGGAGGGTTGTACTTACAGCAGTGGGAATGTAAGTTTAAATATCAATAGGACTACATTTGGCTACCATTTAATATGTGCTTTATGTAAAACGGCAACTTTTAACTTCTATAACCTAAAACCCAACAACATTTTAAGATGTTTATTATTTTCAGAAACTCCTGTAACTTCTTATTCAAACTATGTGCATGGCTGTACACTGGATCACACAGTTTATTCTCTGAATGCATCCACTCGCTGGCTGACACTGTGAATCAACTGATTCTTGCATATGGGATACATAAATCTGTTCAAGTATGTAAGATTTTATAGTTGTCTATTTCCAAAATGAGTCTTAATCTTCCCATAATCTTGGTTACAACTAATGTTGAAAATGAATCTCAATCTAATGATATGTATCTTATCGAGATTGATTATTAATTTCCGTCATTAATAATAACTAATATTGAATGTGTATTATTCAGATGGCAGATCCAGCTCACCCATATGGTTATACAAATATGAGATATGTCTCCTCCCTCATATCTGGTGTTGGGATATTTTGTGTAGGATGTGGCCTATCTTTCTACCACGGAGTTACTGGTATATTAGACCCTCAACCTCTCCATGATTTTTACTGGGTGAGTAAAATATTTTAAACTTTTATTGATTATATTCTTTCAATGTGTTAAAATACTATTTTATTTCAGGCTTATTTCGTTCTTGGCGGTGCTGTAGTGTCTGAAGGCGCTACGTTAATGGTAGCTTTGAATGCTATTCGAAAAGGTGCCAAGGAGGCCAATACGTCAGTATTCGAATACAGTAAGTTTTTTTTACAATGTTAAAAGTTCTTCTGAAGATTCTGTGCTGATGGCTGCCTTCTGCGTAACTTTTGTTTCAGCATTGTCACATTTGTCTACACTGATTTTTGTGGCCACATAATTTATCTTGTATGATATGTCTATGTTTCAGTAATGCGTAGCTCGGATCCATCAGTAAATGTGGTACTTTTGGAGGATACTGCTGCCGTAGCTGGCGTTATCATAGCGGGAGGGTGTATGGCTTTATCCCAGTATTCTGGCAACCCGTTATATGACGCTGTTGGTTGTATCTTAGTCGGAACTTTGCTTGGTGGAGTAGCCTCTTTTATCATTCTGACGAATGTTGGCGCCCTAGTCGGCAGGTAAAAATATCATTGACACGTAAGAACTATATTTCTTTAGCATGACTACATATTGATTTAAATATCAACAGATCAATACCGCAAGAGCAACTGGACCAAATAAACAGCGTTTTAGAACGAGATTTTATGATAAGAGCCATTCATGACGTCAAGGGCATAGATATAGGCAGTAACCTAATAAGATATAAGGTAAACACCTGTTTTTTGCACAAAATCATGATAATTTGTCTCAATTTTTACTTTTATTTTCATCTTTTCTGTACAGGCTGAAGTTGATTTCGACGGCAGAGCTCTGACAAGGTCGTACTTAGAGAAACACGACTTGAACGCATTAATGGAGGTGAGAGTGCGATCTTGATAAATGTTATTTTTATGCTTTATGGCCCATAATAACTTATGAATAATGCATGTATGTTTACCGGAACTGTTACGTCACTTAGTATTATACTCTCTATTATTACCTTTGGATTATTATTTACTGTAGTAAGTATTGTAAAACGGGAATTGTTCCAGGACATGAAAAAAGTTGTCACTGTTGACGATGTAGAAGCTTTCTTGTTGAAACATGGCGAAAATATTGTAGATATGTTGGGCGGTGAGATTGATAGAATAGAATTAAAATTACGGGTAAGGAAATCATGTATTGGTATTATTTTTAGGAGTGATTTTTTTTATTTGAACATTTTTTTTAATAATTAACTTTTTTATTTACAGAAAAAGTTTCCGCAAATCCGGCACTGTGATTTAGAAATACTTTGAAATGTAGCACTGAATATTATAAATGCGAAAGTATGTGAGATTTTGTGTGTGTGTGTGTGTGTATATGTCTGTTAGGTACTCAATCACGTCAAAACGGCTGGAGGGATCGGGATGAAATTTGGAACAGAGGTAGATTATGGTCTGGAGTAACGCAAAAGTTTTTTATCCCGCCGTAAAGCGGGTGAAGCCGCTAGCAGAAGCTAGTTTCATATATGTATGAGAGCTGCAAACTAGTCAAATAGCAAAGCTCTTTGCTAAAAGCTTACAATAGTAAAGCGGCAGTCACATTGTAACGTACATATATATCATTTGCTATTATGTGTGTATGCGTATCCACAGAAGTATTTCCTAGGGACTGTAAATGTGTAAAAAGGTTTTGAAAAAATCAAATAAAATCTAGCAAAACTTGTGGTATTTAAATCGTAACGTATTTCAAAGCACCTTGTACAGATTTATTTTGGTATTCTAAAAGCCATGGATTCGTGGAGCATTGGTGATAAAAGAATCAATACAGATTGTAATATAATAAGTACCATTGGATGTTTTCATACTATGTTTACCTACCTCATACATTTCATACTATGTTTTCATACTGTGTATGAGGTATATAGATATAATTATTATTCATGTATAATACAGAGTTCCCTTATGAATCGCACATTATTTTTCAGCATTTTATATATTTGATAGTATAAAGGTTTGGTATCTGGTTTTGTTGGTCCTGGGTGTTTTATATCCGTTTCATGGAGAGGAACGTAACTTATAATCTTATCTTTAGAATACTCTCATGAAATAATTAGCTTACTCAAAAAATCCACCAAATTTGAAGAGTTTCTACTGTAGAATTATAAATGTAGTTCGTAGTAAAAGTAAAGAAATAGGCTGCTTGCTTGCCTTTACCTAGTTATTTGTAATAGTTAAATTCCCCTAATGTCTAGTTTAATGTCCCGTATATTCGATATTATATTTTAAATGTTTTCTCAGTCGACACCATTGTTGCACTTTCATTTATCTAGTCTAAACTTGAAAAGCCATCCGTTTATAGATATTCTAAGTATAGGTGTTCAATCGATGGCGTAATTTATAGTAATATTATGGCACCAAGTTCGCTACTGTCTACACTATTTTGTGCATGACATGATATAAACAGAGTTAAAGCGACATTACCGTTGAAACCAAGTATTTAACTAGATAATTAAAACTTAGATTGGAAGACATTCCGAATTGATTGCCCTTAGTTGACTCGTACACAACAATCGTGCCTTGGTTTCCTTTAGTCTCAAATTAGTTTCCTGATTATATTGTTGTATTTCTCTGTGATCTAGGAATGTATCTTATGTATGTAATCTATAGTGTAATAAGTACTACTTTGGCGTAAAGTAAGTCCCCTTTATTCTGGATGTAAATAAACTGTTATAATATTTATTTATGTGCGACTTTATTGTAGTGTATAAACTAATCTACCATCCCAAGGTTTTAACAAATGTATTTGCTTACTTGTAGAGCTTATTAGTCTTGCATCAATAAAGAAGGCTATTTTTAATTTATACTTTATTTAGTATAAAATATAACAATTCCATTTAACTTACATGCTTGATATTTTGTCACGATACTAAAATGACATAAGCAAATCAAAAGACTCACATATTATTATGGATTATATAAAACAATCATTCAAATTCAACATAAGTAGCAGTACACATAACTATTGTGGGTATTTTGGGATGACAAGTTTAAAAATCTAATTAATCTTTATGGCAGAAACTTGAACATGCAAATAATTTGAACAAAGTATAAAAACAAGCTTATTGTTACCTAAACCTAGATATAAACTTTTGATCAAATAATCACATTTTCGCTGTTGGGTTGAGCTTATGTTAGGAGTTCTCTAATTTATGGGTTCAAAGAGAGAGAAAGAGAGTATAAACTGGCAATGGTTAGATTCCGGGTGACATAGATTTAGAAACAAGGAAAGCAGGTAGATCCTTAGACAAAATGTTTTCAATATGGACTAATATTATGTTTGTAATGTCTAGTATTACTTGTTTCGACATAGTCGTAATTTAGCAGTTTACTACATTAATTTAAACCAGGTTACACCTGAATGTTCTGTAAAAAAATGCACATGTGTGGAATCTAAGGGCTTATTCAAGCCAATATCACAGCTTTACATACAGCATTAATAATTATTGGCAGCAAGAAATAGAATAATGGAAAATTGTGTTCAAAGACAATAAATTTTAAATGCTTGCTTATGATACAACTCGTCTTTTAAATAGCAGGTTTTGTTTGTGGTAAACAGAGGTTGTAGTGAGCAGTTTTGTTCCAGAAGTCTGAATTCTTCCAACCACACCATCCCTTACTGATAACAATGGACAAATCTTCTTGGCCTGTGTAGTGAGGATCTAGGATTAGATAGCGAATGTCGTTAGTTGCAGCGTTGAATTCTACTCCCAAAATTGTGTGTGCCAGCACACCTCCACCTAAAAGTAAAAGTTTTGTATAAAAAAACCTGTAGTTCAGGAAAATAACTACCAATATATCTCTTAAAAAATGTAAATGAAATGTCCAAAAGCACTTACCAATCATAATAGGGCTCCCATGTGTTTGGAAGTGATGTACCAGATCATGAGCATAGCTCTGTAACTCTGCTCCAGTGTTAGCGAATATGATCCTTGATTGTACGCCTAACAGTGTTTCCAAGCAAAACATAACTTCAGTGGACCCTATCCATTGCTTTGAACCTAGGAATGAAGACTGCTTATCACCAATGTTTACAAGGCACTGTTGAATGTCTCTGTGGGTTGGTATGTCAACGGTTGTGTATCCTTGGTACCTGGAAACCAAAGAACATTATTACAGTAATATTCAAGAAACAATGAAGGTACTGAGTATTCTTAGGATATACAAATTCGTACCTAAACCACGAAAATATAGTTTGCATTGAGCGATAAGCGCAACCCCAACCATCGTCGTTGAAGTTGTCCTGCATGTAGTGGTGATACGTATATCGGCCTCGTACTAGAGCTACAGTGACATCAGGCTTGGATGGCTGCTGTGGTATAGCCTCGTGAGGATTCACTAGACGCCCATTACTTTTATCAGCGTAAGCATTCCCTCTTCGAAACACTGGTCTAGTCAGGGCCAGTCCCAACTGTTCATGTAACAATCGCCGTTCTTTTTCTGCAACCATTTACAGAAATTAACATACCAATATGTAGTTTAAATATTCTGATATTGTTTCATCAATATCAGAAACTTACCCATACTTTCATCTGGTATGGCTTTAGGTACTACCCTAGTAATAAAATGTCCTATTTCTTGTGGCAGGAAGTGGAAAGTTTCAGGTAACCGTAGCCCAGCACCATCTCCAATACCTTCTTGACCTAAAATAGATTTAATATAGAATTAAGAAAAGTAAGAATATAAAATTAATACATATTTCTATTGTTATTGACAAGTTATCCTGTTAACAAATGTCTTAAAATATGAAATATTTAGATAAATTTACAAACCTAGCTGTAATTAAGTAAAAACGCGGGTTACTCACGTGAATATACTGAGAAAAGCTCTACTAGTTTCGAACCACAGAGGGGTTCTTCCTCATGAGCAGCGTGCGCGGTCGCGGCGCCGTCGCGCAGCTCAGTGAGCTGCGTGAGTAACCCGCGTTTTTACTTAATTTAGTATGTCTCACGATAGTTATTATAAAAACAAACCTAGCTGTTCCAATAAGACACTCTCTAATAGTCTGAGTGACCTGCAGGCAGCCTCCACAAGGACTGTATAGAGATCCAATAACTTTGTGTTGCGGTGTATCATTGCCAAGGTGTCTATTCTCAACGGCATACTGATGCAAAATGCAGCTGTAATAAAATGAGAACATTACTTTGGTAAGTCCCGTTCAAACCATATTATTGGTGTGAGCCCATCAAGTGAATAAATTAAAATAAGTTTTATTGGAAGTAAAAGGTTACACTCAAAAAAACTGATTGCTAATTGATATAAGAAATAATAAAAAATGTGTCTCATTAGATTTGCATCAAGCAGATCATGGATATTAAAATAATAGGTCTTATAGATGATTTATTGAAACCCAATTTTACAGGCACCATAATTGATTGGTTATTAAATTAACTAAGAGATGACATCGTATGAATCAAGTTTACTTGGCTTGGCTACTTACGTTTTCTTTGAGTAGTCATCATTTTAACTGCAGTCTTAACAAGTTTATCCGACAATATATCTTTTGTTGTCTTCAAAACAAGATTTATGGGTACTATTTCCTGAAAAGAAAATTCTCAAATTAAAAATTTCTAGTTTTTATGAAGAAGAGTGTCAATTATATTTTGTTATTAGTTACTGCAAAACATTGGTTATTTAAGTATACTGGATTTAATTATTGAATGTATGTGCTACATACAATATTGAAAATAATAATTATGTCACAGCATTTTGGTCTTTATTAGTTTTATGCACAATACATTTTTGCCTAAAAATCAATAAAACTAATTAATTTCATACTCACTATGCTACTAGTATTATGCTTCTTTTTCTTGGGCTGTTCTGGACTCATAGAGTCAACAAGTTCCCCAATGGTTGCTTCTGTGCTGGTTCCAGTTAGACCCACATCCGATGCCACACCAAACAGATAGACTGATGTGCCATCCACATGGAATGAGACCTGGCCAGAAGCAATCTGCAACAACATTTGTGGATTAAAACAAATAAACATTAATTAATGCCTGACAAGATGAAGACACTTTTGCAAATTTAATTTGGTAAAGGAATATTGCTAATATTAAAATTGTAAGTAAACAAAACACAACATATTCTCATCTCTCTAAATCTAATATTAATTAAATTATGAATTACACAATAATAGTCAACCTGACTATTAACTTCTTGTCATAATAAATATTTAACAAACCTTTTTCCTTTTGTTTTGCAGGATATTTTTCACTCCAGATATAGTTGCTTCACAGCTGAGTGGTAAGATTGTGTTCAAGCGCACATGAAGGAACTGTTTCCACATCTCATCTGAGCTCAGCACTTCATATTTTGTCTCCTCAAACTTGTCATGGACCAGAAAGTGAGTTTTCATTTCTTTCTTTTCATTGACTATCATCACTAGAGGATTGTCTGTTATATCTACATCCTGGAATAAAAAAAAGTTTGTAAATTATACTTTGCAGCAATGTAAATTAGTTTGGTAATGGTAAGTTTGAATATCATGCAATTTAATGTACCAACAAAAGATAAAGCACTAGTTACCTGCAATATTTCCTTCATTGTAGTTCCAGTAGTCAATGTTTCACCAAATCGCACGACGCCACATAATTCTATCTCGGCGGGGAGGTTGAGCAAAAATTGCCTGTATGTGTTCTTCTCATTTTCAAACAATTCTAAGCTCAGTCCAACCACGAGCAATGTGCCATCGTACATGAGGCCGTACAGACATCCTGTACTTTCATTTGTGTCTATATTAGACAGCCTCTAAAATAATAATATTAAACATCAATAATGAACCAGTTCATAGCACAAACTTAAAAAAATATAAAATATGTAATGACTGTGACGATGACGTATGTTAATAAACTATAATTCTAAACAGTTTTACCCAAAAACACTGTGTTAAAATTAAAGCTAGTTATTTCGTTTACTTAAATAGCCAGAACGTTATACTGTAACAAGCTTTGATTAATAAAAATAAAATAGTTTACCTCAATAACATAATTTGATATTTTGAGACGTGGTGACATTTTACATGAATGTTACCAAAACAGATAATAAAATAAAGACCGGCTGTCATTTTGACTAGAGTTGCCAATTTATAAATTTTTAAACTGTTTCGTAAAATATTTTCCAGTTTTCGAGTCATCTGAAGGGTGTTATGGTTTTTTTTCTTTATAATAAATGCTCACAAAATACTTGATTAGCCATCTTTGTAGATTTTTATGCTTATATCTCAAATTCACAAACTTTTTCTTCTTCTGCTGTGTAGGCATTGTAGTTTTTAACATAAGATAGCATAATAATATGAATCACAAAATTATAACTATATTGAACTTTGTTCAATATGTTCAGAACGATGACTGAATACAGCTTTACTGAATGTTTGTGCGCCTGGCTATTGTTGAATTCAAGGAATGTAATAAAAAAAACGAATGTACAGTACTCCTGAGCGGCACTGACGAGGTTGTATACACAAGCATGCCATGAACATGGACGTATTGCAAAGAAAAGAAGTATTCAAGTATCTTATTAGGTGGCCTTCTGTAGTTTCTACCTACCCTCATATAAACAGTTTTCAGTTGGCTTCATGTGAACTAAAACTACCAACATCAATAGTTCATTTATGGATTTCATCTAGGACTAATCAACTCTGTGAAGTACTTTATGTAACAAATAAACTTGAAATAGGACTTTGGGAAATCAGAAAGTAGTTTAAAAATTGTTCGTTATTTATTTTTCTCTAATTCATAGTTTTTAATGCAAACATCAACAACTTCTTCAACAAGCTGTGTTTTTTCTTTGGCTATTTTAAAAGCCATTTCTTCACATTCTTTGGGGAGGTTACAGCACCCAAACTTGTGTGAGCCACAGAGGAATCCTTTGTTGTAGCATAATATTAAATTAGCACCAATACCTCCACACATCTCTTCTTCATATGATGAGGGGTCAGCCAAAACAATAGTGCTAAAAAAAAACTTTAGTTAGTTCTGCGGTTTGATTACTTTTTTTTATATTTTAGTTTTGGTACTTCTTTTTTCATACCTCTGAAGATGTTTGTATAAAGCAAAGCTGGATGCCACAGGCAGACCATGTACTTTAAGTTTTGTTCGAACATTTGTATCAACTGATATTTCTTCTGTTTCTGCATCATATGTTACAGTTGGAAGGGTTACTGAAAAAAGGTATATGTTACCAGGTTACAATTGTTGTTTTTTTTAAATAATTGTATTATAAGTAGTTTTTTAACCTACAAGTTTTTAAACTGGCCATCAAAGTCATGAGACAGGCATCAACCAAGCTACCATCGTTGTCAATGCAGACCATGTCACAATACATAACCCATGCTAACTTATCATGAGCTATGCACAAGTCTTTCAAGTCAATACATTTTGAGTTCACAATGATGTCTGACACTAAAGTACTGGTGACTTGAGCAAAATCTGATGGTGGTCCTGGTCTGAATTTTGATGAACATAAAGCAGGCAGCTCCACATTTGTAACTAGAAAACCCATATCTGGCTCTTCAGCTTTTGGAGTTGCTAGCTCCTGGAAAGTATACATAAGTATTATATTTATATTTAATCTTTACGGAACTTGATACAGTTAAGACACGAATTTAATAATACAAATAATATTACCAGTTTGATCCCACATACAACTGTCGTGTTTCCACATTTGACTACTGAAGATGCATCTGCTGCTTTTATGGAATTTACATTTAACTTAATATTACGTTGTTCGTGAAATCCTCTTCCATCAGGACGTATATTTCTCGCTAAATAGTCATTAAAATACTTGACTGGATGTATTAGTCTGTAACAAAAAATAAATGATTACAGAGTCGTATCAAGATGTATGCAGGTATAAGATACAAGCAATTTTAAATTAAGAGTGATCTCACTTATAAATGTCAGCCATATTATAAGTTATTTATGTTTGAAACGTAAAATAATTATTGTTTCGGTGAATTTCACAACAACAAAAACGTGCGTCTGTTTTGACGTTCCAAATGTCGAAGTCAAGTCAAATGTCAACTAGCCAATGATGATTTCGTTCTGTCATGTCAACTGATTGAATCTTTTTTTTTCTTAGGGGGAAAACATGGGAAAAATCATCGAATGTTTGCGGTGAGGCGGGAGGGAGTGTCAGACTCTTACTGACTAAAAACCACCCCGTTCTTTCTCCTGCACGTCGAGCCGGAGCCTCGGTTACCCGTTAAAAGAACCTAACGAGGTTTTCCGCGACAACTGATTGAATTAGTAGAGTAGAGAGTTTAGTTTGGATGGATGGCAGAAAACGCACTCAAAGGAAGCTTGTACTCTTTTTTCCAACGTCCTTTGTTTGAAGTCCATTGATTAAGACCAGTTTTGGTAATGTAAAGTAAATTTTCAACAACATGCTTTCCTCATCGTTTCTGAGTGTTTTTAGTGCTCCAAAATTGATGCTACATACTTTTTATCAGATAGTTAAAGAGTCTGTCATTAAAAATGTGACAAATAACCTTATTAGTAGGGGTCACGGGTACTTACTAATCATATCAGTGGGGTTTAAAAACTGTAATTTTCAAAATCGGATTACGTATCTCTATGGTAGCTAGGAATGAATCGGTAAGTCAACTGTCAAAATCGCTTGACATGTGTAACTTGACTTTGACGTTTCTTTTTTGATTTGGTTTGGTGCACGAAGCTCCAAGGTGTGTGTATTTATCAAAAAATCCACTTTAATCGTGAAATATCAATGCCGGAATAACTGAATTTAGTTATAAAAAGTGTTCTCAGGAGCCATTATAGGGGTTGTGAGTCTTATTTTGTGATATTATTTCAGATCACAATGGCAAAACCTAAAGGAGAGAGGAAAGGCAAATCTGCCATCAACGAAGTTGTAACTCGTGAATACACGGTTAACTTACACAAACGGCTTCATGGAGTAGGTTTCAAGAAACGCGCTCCTCGTGCCATCAAGGAGATCCGTAAATTCGCTGAGAAACAAATGGGAACTCCCGATGTTCGTGTGGACACTCGCCTAAACAAATTCCTCTGGTCTAAGGGAGTCAGGTGAGACATCAAGTTCTTTGGTTGTGTTTATAAATTAAGTGCACTAACTAAGATATATTGATAAAACTCGTGTAACAACATTGCGTTTGTTGATGTATATACCTAACCTTAAAGTTGTGATGTTCTTCGTTATAAAAGCGATTCTTGTTATCATTGAGTTCCTTCAAGCTACTTAGTACATTAGTACATGTCTGTGTATATCCTTTTATTATAAATAAATCTATAAATCTATAATTCAAGCAATCAGTCATTGTTTCTTGTCTGCAAAGAATACTTGTATGTATTGGGTGTACTCATGCTGAATGATGACCCACTGAACCATAATAGTGCTGAGCTACTGCTAATAAGTACATTATGGAAGACTGCAGTAACCAATGAGTTGTATGTTGTCAGTATTCTATCAAATGATGCTTTGTCTTTCAAACCTTGTGTCAACCTTTAGAAGTTACTGTAGTCTTAAGTTTGTTTTGATGATTTTATTCAGAGTAGTCTGATATGAAATTCTAAAATTATGTATTACTTATTAGTAAACACGCTTTTTGATAGGTATTATGTTGTTTTGTAAGTGTCATTTAACATAAGTTCTAAAATAAGCTTTGTCTTGATTTCAGAAATGTCCCCTTCCGTGTCCGTGTGAGGCTGTCTCGCAGACGTAACGATGATGAGGACTCTGCACACAAACTGTTCACACTCGTCACCTACGTACCCGTAGCCTCAATCAAGGGCTTGCAGACAGAAAATGTTGACGCTAGCCAAGAATAAACACTAAGTTTAAGCTACTATTGAATTTTCTTTACGAATCCCGAATATAATTTATTAAGTTACATACTATTATTGTTTATGACTACAAAAAATAATAAGAATCCATATTTTTCAAGACTTGTATGTGCTTGATAAGTAACTTCAGAATTCATTGAAATAGATGGTTATATTAAGACACCTTTCAAGTACACAAAACAATGACATGCATTATTTTTAACTTCAAATAAAGAAGGAAGTTCTCAATTTGACCTGTATGTATATACCTATGCATGTTTGTGCGCGTGTCTCGCGATTGGCTGAACTGATTTTGATGCGGTTTTCATAAAGTATTTGTTACTCTTAGTATATTAACTGATTCGTATTAAAGTCGATTTTTTAAACATGTTTATCAAAGAATTATTTATTCAGAGAGTTTTTCATTGATGAATATTAATTTAACGCTACTTTTATTGTTTGCTACCAATTTACTAAACACCTGTAGTTATGAAGAACAAAAAATATTTATTGAAACTGTAGAACTAATGAGAAAAGTATAACCTTCAAAAAGAGTTTTGATTTTGTTTTATAAAAACAAGTCAGTTTTTTCTTCAGGGATAAACTCCCAAACTTTAAATTTCACCACAATTACACCACATTCTCAGTCTTGCTGATTATAGACTTGCCATACTTTTGAGGCGCTCTATTATTATGTCTCTACCATTCACGGGACCACAGGGTCCCGGGCATTTGGGAGGCGTACGAGGGGCCAAAGCCAACTGCGCAGAGGCCCTTTAGACAACTTTAATATACAAGTAATGGACACACCAAACCGGCGACTATCCCTGTATGCACTATGGAAATGCACCCAATGATAATTGTAAAAAAAGATAGGGCTATGGATGGCTGTGGACTGGTAAATTGGGAACTATGGATGACTATGGCACCTGCCGAAACAATGTAATTAACACGTAAAAATGGCAGGCGGAGGCTCGACAACTCACCGACCGGGCCCCGGGAATGGTTACTAGATATAGCAACAGAGAGGCAACGAGAATGTGAGTGGCTGAAGGGTTAAGAAACTACCACCGCTTTCTACTCTGATCATCTGCTCCAGCCGAAGCTTCCTGCATCCCGGGCCCACTCGCGACTTACGCATAGTTTCTTATCCTCCGAGCAGGATCACTGCTCTCGCGACTCCACTCTGGACGGCCAATGAAGGCAAGCCAGATGTGGGAGACCTGTTCCTTGTCATCGTTCACTCCAGCCAGCCAATTAAGGCAAGCCGGAGAAGAAGGAACGGTGACTTCTCCCTGGAGCACTCGGGATGATGGTAGCCCGCGGGATCACTAATGCCCGTCACCTCGCCTCAAGGTGCCCTGCGGGCTCTATTATTATAATTATTATGTGTATCATTCAAATGTTTCCACCTGGGCGAGGGACGTGTAAAGAAAATGTAATCCCAAAAACTAAAGTAAAAATCAATAATAGTGGGCTTTATAGTATAAATCTGATCTGAATAGTTATTCTAATGTGTTTATAATGTCGCGGAGAACCTAACGGGTTACCCGGGCTCCGGCTCGTAGTGCAGGAGAAGGAACGTGGTGGTTATTAGTCAGTAAGAGACAGACTTCGATGATTTTCCCCCATAAAAAAATACTCGTAGTTTAATTCGTTTTGTTAGGTTAGTGTCCGTCGTGTCTTATTTCAACGAAACAAAAAATAATTTTCCATTACTCCCTTCGGGAAGAAAGGCGTTATTCCTTTTAATGTTTAATCTCTCTATATTAGGTATTCCGCGTGGTTTCCCACGCTCTGCTCTGCTCCTATTGGTCGTAGCGTGATGTTTTATAGCCTATAGTCATCCTCGATAAATGCGCTATCCAACACAAAAATAATTATTCAAATCAGACTTGTAGTTACGGAGATTAGCGCGTTCAAACAAACAAACAAAAACACAAACTCTTCCCCTTTATATAATAGTATAAGATTTCATTTCAGAGTTTATTCTAGTTAAAGTACCCATCCCTCCAATGTTTCAGTTGATGAATTAAAATATTGCATTTTCCGTTTCTCGAAAATTCCCTGTAAGTACTATGAACTATGCTAGGTACTTCCTGGTATACTACGTGGGCCTAAATTGGCAAAACGTGGGTGTGAAATTCAATATGTATAGGTATACATATTATATAAGGGGTAAACAGAGGTCTGTTTGGGAACAAATCTCGAGTTGTTACATTAATGTATCATGTACATTGAAATCCCTAATTAATTACCAATTAACAAGGATAAGTGGTTGAGCCATGACGAGCCTCAAGTTTATTTTATGAATACAAACCGAAGAACAATGTTTCTTTTAACCGAAAATCTCTCCAAAGCTACAGTTAGCTTTGGTGCAAAGCCGTTGGCTACACAAATCTTGGTAGCTAGAAGATCAAAGAGTATTCATCATTGAGAGTGTTGCTCTAGCATGCCATTTAATATTGTATCCGTTCCATTGTGAACGGAGGTACATTGTTACTTAACACATGTCACTATTCTGCAGGATGTGGCACCGAGCGGAGGTGTGCTCGCCGGCAGCCGCAACGCTAAGCCTGCGGTTCACTTCCATTAGTACGGCTAAATCCATTACAGATACATCTCGCCTTACTATCTATTAAGCGTTCGTCTTGCACGTGTCATATTACCTGAGTGAGATATTGCACCTTCTAGAATCTCGACATAGTCTTCAGCTAAGTGCTATCCCTACGGTCTTGCGATTAAGATTATTTGTAGCTAGGTTTAATTCAATTATTTTATTTTGAGATCTTAAACGTAGATCAGTTTTTTTTAAATCGTTGCCGCACTAGGATTTTTCCTGTGTCGTAGGTGCGTTTACAAATATAGAAGTTCACATACACATGACGCCGAAACAACAATTTGTGGATCACACAAAGACTGCGCGACAGCCGGTTGTCCAGCCACCGCACCAAACGTGCAGTTCAGTGCAGTTACCAACAGTGAAAGAAAATGAATTGTTTAGTTTTAAAAATATTAAGCGAATACTCGTACACATTTTATAAACCTATACGATTACCATATACCTAAGTACACATTTTGTAGAAAAGTAACTTCAGTAAGAAAAAGAAATATATGAAAATCTCTACTACCTATGTCTACGTAACTACCAAACCGCTACGGCTAACCGTAGTCCTCGTAGCACGCTACGGCTACGTGTGACAAGTACGATGATGCCGACATATTCTGTAGGGTCATGTAGTGTACTATAGTGTCCTTTAGCAGACTGAGTCCACTTTCGTGTTAAGGGTAACTTGTTATACCACCAAGTTTACTTTTTAGACTAAGAAATTAGATGCTGGCTAATATTTGCTGATGTCTGTTTGTGTTTGAATTGATTTTAGCGGACTCGGTCATAAACAGAGTAAATATTATTTTTTTGACTACTTTTTACTTGTTAAAATCGACAAAATAAAATGGTAGGTAGATAAATTAAGAAACTGGGACAGTTTGTTCGAAATAGCGCAATCTATTTTTAGTTTGTAAGTGGAAAAGTTTTTGTTAGTTCTTCCCATGGGAACTATTTGATTGGTCACGATATAAGCCAAGTTCGACCCTTACATCCTATGACACTATCGAGTTGTTGGTAGGTAGTTAACGGTTAGATGTGTTCACTGAGTAATGTAGGTGAGGCAGGTACCGTACCATGTTGTGTACAATTATGTTTAAACGAAAATACCCACCGAGATATTTTTTAATAATACGGTTCATAGTATTTCTAGTGTGTCTATTTCATTTTAATAGGAAAGTATTAGATATACATTTCTTCTAAAAATGAAAGTAACCTACTTGGGCAATTAGTTTTCGAATAGATAGAGAAGTTTAATATCGCAGGTTAAACTGCACCAGCAGTTACCAAAAGGCCAGTTAACCCGAAAAAGTAAACAAATATTAAAACTTAGGACTAGCCTTTGTTTTTATCCTGCGTTGACTTGTGCTTCGCGGGGTTCCTATTTCTGTGTGAATGGTCAAAAGGAAACTAACATGAAGGGGATGATGGGGGCTTTGTAACCTAACCCAGCCGTGCTGAGGTAAATTGTTTTTGTAGGAACTTTACAGGTTTGTTGTTTATGGCTTAAAGAGATTTATTTAGGTCATAATTGCGTATAAATTGTCACTTATGAAAGATGTGGGTAGTTAAAGAAAGATAGGTAGGTACAAAGTCAATATTATAGTTTGTTAAAACTAAGTTAGAAATAAATACGTATAAACAGTATTTTTTTTAAGGGGGGAATGTCATCGAATGGCTGCTCCCGCCTGGGTGAGGTGGGAGGGAGTATCAGACTCTTACCGACTAAAAGCCACCCTGTTTCTTCTCCTGTACGTCGAGCCGGAGCCTCGGTAACCCGTTAGGTTCTCCGCGACACGTAAAGACAGTATAGATATAAAACCATCATAATAATTTATTGGAGATATTTATAGTAAACAGAGAATAATTATTGTATATTGATATTGATGATAGGTATTATTTTTGGTTGGCTTGCACATGGTAAACACAATTTATAACTAAGTAGTAATAACATTGTTGTATGAACTATTCGTGAAATTAGAAAGGTATCTAATTGACTACCCCCGTGGGATTGTACATAGATATTTATCGAACAGGTAATAACTCTCATCTCATAGTTAAAGACAATCGGTAGATATTCGCAAATCAATGATCTCGACAGATATTGCGGTTTCATCAACATTCTCGAAGATGGATTCCGTTTCAGTCAGTTGCTCCTGGATTGTTATTGAACACGATTCAGTTATAGATTTGACTACACCTACCTGCCACTTAAATAACTAATAAATATTTTCTTATTGTAGAATGAAAACTTCAGCGCTTTGAACGTCTCTATTTATTAGGAGGTAATTATTAGGGTCGATTGACAAAACCCAATTTAGACGTAGGCTCCGTCACCTTGTCGCACAATTCACAAAGGTTAGCAAACAAAACCCGTATCGATAGATCCCTGCCTAGATATAGCCATGTAGGTAGG